CGTCTATATAGTTTGGAATAGTTGTAAAGATTTATAGATTGTTTCAACAAAAAAAAATGCATTTTAATCAGATTTAAACACGGTAGAAGAAATTTTTTTATAATACGAAAATTCACCGAACATTTAGTTCAACTAAATCTCTTAACGAATCGAGAAAGTTTGGGTGAATACGTCTTCTCAAGTGCAAATTCGAACCTGAATTGGGAAAGAATTTTGTCACCTCCGTAACCAGTTGAGCCAATCAATCTTGGATACGATAGAAAAATATTAAATAAACTGTAACGAACAAGTGAAATTTTTAGAAACTAACATATATACCTTTGCACACAATCAACGAAACTTGTGACTTCAGGGAGAGAAGCATATCTATCACATGTGTCATCGAAAATGGTGAGGCATACGTAGAACTTAACCAACGCGATTCTCGCACGTGAAAAATGTGGCTCCATGAAAAGTGAGACCGCATTCAAATAATATTGGACCATGTTGTTTCTAAAGAAAGGTGGCAACTTTGATCCCAACCCTAGGTCCTTCCACCATCTGCAAACATACGAAAGGAGACTATATATTCAAAAGGATCGATCTAGGGTTTTACTGGGTGTAACTTTTCTTGCACGCAAAGGTACAAAAAGAAAAAGATTAGAGCATGTACTTGCTCATAGCCTTCAGCTCTTGAATATATTGAATTTGCAACAACCTAAAACTGAGCTTGGAAAACTTGAGCAGCGTCTCGTCGTGATCATCTTCCTGTTCGTAGAAAGATATGTATTCTCTGGCGGCTAATATTTCAATGTTTTGACGCCGTGGAAGATCGAGAACGGTCTTTATGAGCTTCGACATGTGTGGGCTAGTTCCGTCTGGTAATGATTCTAAGTGGGTCGATGTGAAAGACAAAGCTTCATCCATGATGTCTTCATTCACTGTCCCCCAGTTTGCAGCTTCGTACAAACTTAAGATGCCTTTCACATCCCTCAGGAGACTTGTTTTGAATCTCCCGTCATCTCCTTTGAATTTCTCAAACACACCTGCATATGGATCATCTTTCAAAACTGAACATTTTCTTACAATATTGTCCACGACATATATATATATATATAT